TAGGGTAGTACAGTATATCATAGTATAGTATATTTAGACTTTGAATGTGGGGGACACCTGGAGCAGTCAAGTTTTTAATCGCTGAAGAGCAAAAGGTCCATTTTTTAAAGGAAGTAGAAACTCGTTCAGATAAGCGAAGTTAAAGGTATAAATCGAAGTCCAAAATTCAGAACCCTCCCAATTTGAAGCTATTCTACAGCAGAGTACGCCCCAAGCATTCCGAGTCAGATTTACATGGGATTTCTATCCGTTAGGGACGCCACCCGATCGTTATGAGGAGCCCATGGATTACCCCCTTCCCGAGGAGTGATGTTACACTCGAAGAAGGGTAATGGATCCATTAATTTGTAAGAAAATACGACTCAAGGCGCTTGATTCTCCATGTTGCAAGAGGATTTTTAGCTATTTAATTGTGAAATGAAAGCCAAAGCACCATGTTCCCTAAACTGCTCAAAACATGGCCAAAATAACATAGTGGAGTCAAATTTAAGTGTGTAGCTCCATCCTTATCCATCAGACTTCAACGTACTTCTTTATTGGAAAAGATACCATCGAGTTTGAGCTCTTGCTTCCCATCGCTAGCCCTCTGGTTTCTTGATTCTACCACTAGCGAACATGTCTGTATATCTGTATTTCACTTGGTGGTCTTGGGTTACGACGATTTTCAGGTTCGTGGAAATAGGATTGTCATCTGCATTCCGCACCCGTAGTAAAGACTTGCGCTTAACTGCCAACGCGCTACAATAAAAGTGCAAAGAAAGGAGGATACTATAATACTCCTAGGAAGAACAATAAAAAATATGGCGCACAACTATAAATAGCACTGAGATGAACACATGGGAATGAGGATTGACTCATTACCCGACACAAGCCTTGCGCCAGACCGCAAACAAACGTTTGCTCGGCAGTCCGTCTGCAAATTGGCAGCATCTTCACCACTGAAATCACTTGAGGGATATGTCTACCAGGTTCTATAAACACAAGCGAGGAGGACCAATGCGTCTCAGCCAGGATGACATGGAGACCCACTGCATAAGTGCTTTCAAACATAGGAATCAACCTTATGCCACTAACTTTTGTATTGCTATAACTTTAGTCCGAGTTGAGACAAAATGAACGATTTAGGTAAATGTCTCCGATAGTTATGTTTTGATGGGCTGTTCCTCGTTTTGTTGTAAAAAACTGCATCTTCACAACATTTTTCCCTTGTTCTGGAAGTTTCAGTGTAGTTGGGCTTGCTGTAATCCACAGTGGCAAATTAGGACTCTTAGAGCTTCAATCTCTGTCTTTCCCAAATGATACCTTTTAGACGGCATCGTCTACATAATTCTACCATTAACTGTGAAGACAACGTGAATGTCAGTTTATCCTCAACTACGTTCCCATCTCAGCTAGACGTTTGCACTGTTTCGCGGTCATACATATTCAACATACCGTAAATGGTTTCGCGTCTTTATTCGAGGTTGCCAGGTGGGTGGATACGTGAAAGCGTGAACCTAAAATGCAAAGAAAGGAGGATACTATAATACTCCTAGGAAGAACAATAAAAAATATGGCGCACAACTATAAACAGCACTGAGATAAACACATGGGAATGAGGATTGACCCATTACCCAACACAAGCCCTGCGCCAGACCGCAAACCAGGTGGGTGAATACGTGGAAGCGTGAGCCTAAATTTCCGTACAATCTATCATGTCCAGATTCGCAGTCAGTCGTATTCACAATGGAATCCGTTCATGCAAGAACGTCGATTTCACGCCAAAATTATGGTGGTGCACGGTGGTTGTATTTTCAGGTTTTTCGTAGTTTGCCTTTCCTAGGATTACATCGTGGAATAAACAAGTATGGAACAAACATAAAATGCTGTAATAGTGATGAAACAAACCGCGATAAGTCGTACCCACTGTGTACCAACGTGTTTGAAATTCCGATTTTAGTGAAATTCGAATTCTCGGTGAACATATAACTATTTGTGGATTTGTAACTAGCAAGACGGCGGTGGGCTTAGCAGACATTTGAAGATTTGAACAACTAAAATCACGGCGAGAACCATATCCTTCATTGCATTTTCGTTGAATCTTAAGTTTGTTTACAAATCTGTTTTTATGAGATCTAACACCAAGCCACTTTCTACTGACTTTTTCAGTGATGGAGATGTTTGAACTTTGGAATTTGTCAGGAAGCTTAGCTACGTGTCAGTACGCAATGTCATTCTGTAACGTTCCGGAGATATTGAAGTTGTACTAATATGTTACCCGTGATGAGGTCCCGTTTTGTAATGGATTTTTATGAGATCTAACACCAAGCCACTTTCTACTGACTTTTTCAGTGATGTTAGTTTTTTGCACACCGAAGCAGTGCGTTTTCTTTTAAAAAAGGTTTTTCACCGTCAAAATTCGTGTTCAGCTCTTTACTACTTGTATAGAACAGGTTATCAAATACTCCTTGACAAGGGCAATGGATTGTATTCTCTAAATTTACGTCGACCTGATAGATGAGGGTTTCTGACTTACCAAAGTTATCCGGGTCACAGTAGACCAAAACCTTAACAAAACACCTTTGTTTTTAGGCTGATTTTGACGAGTAGGCCTCACTGTATTTCACATTGTATCGATCTTTTCAAGTTACCTCCTTAGGAAACAACGAAAGTATTTGCACTTCTGAGTGTTCTGTCATAAGTTCCAGGTAAATAAACTTTGATTTTGTTTAGGAATTCATTCATTTTGTTTCAGCTACTAGAGCAGTCATTTGAATAGACCGATCAGTTTTAGTCCGTTGAAGGAATATAATCAATAAAAATACTTCGAGTATCTAACACCGAGTGTCTAACATCGAGTGTCTAACCAAACTGTCTGCTTTGAGGACACTTCTGACGGCGATAATTGCATTTTTCCCAAAGTCCAGAAATTCACGCTAACAATGGTTACAGAATAGCTCAACGGTACGGGCCACTTGCCTTCAGAGGTTGGCTCCGTTCCGAGTACGATTGTTGCTGTTCACTCAGCTCAGTTTACTGAACCTGTCAAGGATTCGATAAATTGGTCACTTATCTCCCGAGGCTGAAATTAGTTTTTTTCAATTTCTAGAATTAAAAACAAATTTCAATTTTCACAGACTTGAGCCCATCACTTTTGTTCTGACCTAAGAGCAACCTGATCATTCAGTTACGGGATTTTGTATTTGCGCGGCTTGCAACTCGCCTATTGTCTTCATTATTAGGATTGCCTTTCTTTCTGGATCGAAAGCCTGAAATGGTTTATCGGAATTGGTCTACTCGAGTGCCATATAAGCAATAAATAAAGTCTTAAAAACCAAACGCCATTCAGCATAGGTTATTCCCTACTGGGAATGAACCTTCCTAAAACCTACAAATAATGTTTGAAGTGAAATCACAGCTAATCCACGCAAATATAAGGTTAAAAGAAATAATTAAGCATGTTCTCTGTTTTTCAACGACAGAAAACACATTACCCGGATGTGTACGCTCGAGAACAACTGGCAATGAGAACCGGTTTGACAGAAGCACGTGTACAGGTTTGGTTCCAGAATCGTCGAGCGAAATGGCGCAAACGCGAACGGTTCGGTACTGGACACAGTGGATTATCCGACGGATTTGTGTCTGCAATGACTCTAAATGGTGAGAAACGTTTTGCGACTAATAAGGCACTACAGAACATCGGTTCGCCTGTTATGAACGCTCCAACGTTTGTGAATCGTTACCCAAGTGAACTTTGTAAATATCCAGCTCCAAAATTGCATGAGGCTATGAGATCCCCAGAATCTTCGATCTCCAGGAAGATATGGGCGGATGTACCAGCACAACATGCAGTGACGCAGTTCGCAACCGTATACAATTTCACTATTCCTCAAGTCCCAGGTTTTCCACATCCTGCAGGCTCGTTTGCGGATATTCAATTCCAAAAATTCCCAAATACCATTACTTGGAATGCAAATGAACGAGGATCACCAAGCCTACCAGATGCTACCCATGGTCAACTGAATTCTGAAGATACAGTTGATCGGACAGCATGTCATTCCGAACCATCTACTTGCTCAAATGGGTACTTTTCTCAGAGCATCTTTCATTCAGATATCCAAAAATCGATTTTGCCCGACAGTCAGCTTTTCGAATGGTCAGGAAAGCCGGAAGAACCTTCCAGATGGTTGGCAATCGATTCCAGCCAAATTTCTTTGTCTAGCAAACACTTTGGGGAAAAATTCAAACGTCCATCTGCGGAAAACGTAATGACGCCTGCTTCACAAGCGAACCTTTTTAAGCGACAAACAGTGTGCCCACCACAGCCAAGTTCTTTCCTTCCGCTCCATGGTTTGCCACAAACCAACATCCTCGGAGTACCTAATCGAGGCGGTCAGCAGAGCTGTTCTCTTTCAACTTCATCTTCAGTGGCTTCGGCTTCAGATAGCTCCAGCCCATGTGTACGGTGGATTCGAGCGAATGAGCTACTGAATAACACTTTGATCTCTCCTCTTGCTAACGTTGAGGAAAAACACTCTAACCTGTATGATTACGCCACTGAAAAAACAGCCTATTTAGACAAAGTAAGTATGCTTGAAAAACATCCACCTTGATCTAAAACCGATATTTTTAATCGGGCTTTTGTCTTGTAAGTGAAGCCAGTTTGTATCGAATTTGTGCCTAGATGCACTGTGCAGCTGTTTTTTTCTTGTTCAGAACCATCAGAATTACGCATCCCGTGAATCATCTAGACATTTCATATCCCCGATCTTGGTAGTCTTAAGATTCATATATGCAGCTTGTGTCTTTGGACAAATTGTAGACTCACTCGTAGGTGCAACAACTGTAAACGAGCACTAAGTGAATGTGTTGTCAATGTTCCGCGTGATATACCACATGATACGAAGTCGCTGGCAAATACTCTCATCTGCGTGCGCATTTGATCTTGCTAGGAGACTCAACAGAATCCAGCTCAATCAGCTGTAAGTGAATGTACTACACCAGGCATGCGTCATCTGCGTGCGCATTTGATCTTGCTAGGATACTCAACAGAATCCAGCTCAATCCATTATTTATGATGGTCCGCTGCAAGTGAATGTACTGCACCAGGCATGCGTGTGTTTCAGATGCCACGATATTCGAGATATCGCTTTCCACCGTCATGTGGATGAATACAACATCCTGAGTCTGTAGGGGAGCTGAGTGGTTCGCCATTTTTTGCCTGTGGTTTGCCTTGTCAGTTTGTTTTGCTGTTTTTCACCGGTACATCTATTTGGTATGTGTTGTACCCTATCTTGCTGAAGAGCATTATGGTACATTTTTTGTATTGCACCATTGTTTATTCTGTTTGATAGAGCCATTTTTGAGTTCTGTATCATAATGTACACAAAACTCAACTAACCAATGAGAACTTTGGCGTGTTAAGTAAATGGCAGCTTTCGGGATAACTCTCCGTCGCCATTGCTGTGGAGTCAAGGCTAAATTGATGTTTCGCACTGGCTAGCCATGAACGCTTCTAGGTTGCGTCCTGTGAGCCAACAGACCAACATTCACACACACCGAGTTCCAACTATGCAATTGTCTCTACTTGGCTTGACAGTCGTGGGTCATCAGATGGATATGTTGACATATTTTAAGCTGCCCCCTCCTGTTTACTACCCCACTACCCCGTCTAATTACCTCCAGTTTACACCGGGTGCCAAGCCTTCATCAGGATACACATACGGCTCGGCTCATTTTGCATCTAGCGTTACGTGGTGTGCGCGGGGGTACATTTCCATATTTCGATGTGACAGGCAAATTCGTTACCTGGCGCCAGTCTACCATAAGCGCATGTCGGAAGCCATTGCCTGTTGGTGGAATATTTGCGGATGCAAATCAGCGGTTAGATAAGCTGGCTGAAGTTAATCTACCTGAGATTTAGTGATCTGGTCCTCATCACAAACGCTCTTTGCAGCCAGCGAATTTCGTAATAGCTCATTGATGCATACCTTGGGAAAACCGAGATCGCTCCACATTGGGCTTCTGGACGTCGCTAAAATAATGGCGTTTTATACTACTTATAATTAAAGAAACTGTTCTCACTTCCTTACCACGGGCACTTGCGACATACTCTCTACTGCCGATAATTTTCGGATGCAGCGATTAAAAATGTGGATTCACAACCCGCTGTTCGGATAGAAATTAGTAAGTTGGTCTAATAAATATGTCAGTGGGTATTACCATTGTTCCCTAGCCTCCGTACTTCGAAGATTTGTGCTCTGAAGTTAAAAGAACATATTCAAGATTTTTACCTCAATACCATTTTAAAAAAGCAGTCCTGAGGACACCACTTGTCAATACCATTTTGAAAAAGCAGTCCTGAGGATCACCACTTGTGTGAGTTCTTGTTTGTGTTTCTTTCTACACTAACCTACCTTGAAAAAACATCCGGATGTAAATGTCACAATTTTTATCACAAGCAAAAGCAAGTTGTGTAACATACAGTCGTTTATTGCCTTTGGTGCCAGGCTACATCTCAATCTTGTCCCAGATATTCTCCATCTTGTGTGGCATCCAGGTTCTCAACTGGGTTGGGTTCAAAACACAAACAGTGACAATCTGGCATTGACGTGTGACATTAGAACTAACAAAAGTAATATTAATAAAAACAAAAACTGTGTAAACTCCACGCTCGTTTAGTAAGTGCATCGACATCTGCCAGGAAACACATTTCACCAGAGAACAGTTTTCCTCATGTTGAAAATGTCATAACTATCAGCCGACAGGTTATGGCCGTGAATTCACGATGATCACTGGCTCCTCATGTCTGTCTCACGGCTTTCCGATGTAAATTGTGTCAGCGAAGCCATCAGGTTAGGTTTATTTATTGCGCCATCAAGGAAAATGGCTAAACAAAACTTTCAGTTGTGGATCTCCAAAATAGCAAGCCGCCTAGCACAAAGATCGAATGGGTTTGACCGATGTCTCTCTGTGAAACCTCTGTTGACATCCCTCCCTCCCCCTCCCTCCCTCTCTCCCTCTCTCCCACAAACTCGTGATAATTTCACGCTCACATCATTTGTACCGCTGTCGACTGCCAACGTCAAATAGGCCTGCGAAGACCGCACATTCTTAACGCTCAAATCACAAGAAACACAACTTTTTGAAATGGTGCACAACATTCTTGACAGAAACATACCAGCAGATTGCTTCTACGGGTTTGTTCAAAATGCCGTTTGCTTCCTGTGCGTCTGGACTGCGATGTTTCCTCTACACACTGCACGCGGTAGATAACACCTTATTCAAAGGTGTTGTCATCATTTTGGGGCGAGGGTGACCTCCTGAGACAGAATGTTTATTTTAATGATTTTCTGTTTTACTTTGGGCTGGGCGCTGTCTGTAGTAAAAAAGGTTTTGTGACAACGTGATTTTCCTGAACACTGTCACAAAACGCGGTTTGCACATTCATTTTACACCGGACAGGACGATGTTCATATTTTAAATTGATGAACTCGGTGTATTTCTGTTAGCTTGAATAGTTATTCTAGCTGAGTTAATATAAAAGACTTCAAAGGACGTTGCACACCAGTTACTATTCACACGAACTGTAATATGCTGACATGCACACAGAACTTGGTTGCTCATGCGCATGGAGATCTGGACAACCATGTGGTTCGAATGGTTGGGTCCTCTTAATTCGTTCAGTGTGCACACTGGAAATGGTCGTGGCAAATTATCAGCATTTCACTCACTTCCATTAGTCATCATCGCTGATTGTATATCTACTGGTAAACAGGACGGTAGCACCACTGGGGAAAAACGTTCAAATATGAAACAGGAGGGCCAATCGACTGGATCTGTTAGACCTAACAAATATAGTCATTTTGTCACAGACACGAATCACTGTATCATCACTGTATCATTTTGAAGATGATTTCCAGCCTTGTTGGGCCATTGAAAAGCGAATAGTGGTGGGTTCTGTGGACGTCACGCGCTATTCATAAAGTTGCTGAAAACTTTCCGAAGAACATCATATTTGGGAGATTCGGTTGGGTCTCCCATGAAAACCCAGTTGGAATGCAAATGAGTGTTTTCCGTTAAAATCAGCGGGTTCTGTCATGATGTTTTTTCTTGCCATCGAGTCACGGTTTCGCACTGTCTCTGAACTGGCCGGTTAATCCATTTTACGAATGAAAGTATTTTTTTGGCACTATACATATTTCAACTCAGAGCTCTAATTTACTCTGTACAGAAAATGTTTGTTCTACTGTCGGCCTGTGAACAGATTAGTCATCTTGCGATTGTAGGCTGTTCTCGCCTGAAGCATCTTAGCCAAGATTAAAAAGGAAGTTGTGTGATAATATTGCACGGGTGGCCTTGACGATACCCTTATTTTTAATTCCGACAAACATTCCACTTTGACCTCTGATCTTTCCAATAATTACTCTGGCTAGTTAACATGCGTCTAGAAAGGAAGAATAGAACAACAATCCGTCATTTCTAGAATTTTTTGGTCTAGAACTGCGAAACGAGGTACTTGAAGGTGAACTAGTAGAAACCTGTTTTGTGAAAGGCAAAACATTTCCTCCTTTTTGACCCCCTTAAACCTGTTTTTGCGATTACCCTTAGGAAGCTATTCATGTATTCGTGAACGTTAGACGGTCTCCTCTCGATCGCGACTCCAATACTGTACAAACAGCGTGTTAGAGGTCACTGAACCTCGACCTTTCTACCGCTCTCAGTTCGCCTATAGCTACGGTGGTACTTATACCGAAAGAACAGATATGTGTCTCACTCAGCGATAACCGGACACCTTCCGGAACAAACAACACCAGAAGAACAAACAGAAATTCAAAATTTGGTGTCGTCCATTGCCAAAGTATTTTTCAACTTTTGACTACCCTGCTGAGACCGATAGGTAAATTGCAGTATTGCCACTCGTTCAAAGTCTCCGACTGTTGGCGTCCAGGGAAGTCTTACCGATTAGCACGAAGCAGTCAGTGTTTCACGTGCAAAAGCAGCTAACTCAACTTTCCTGTTTATCGTGAGACTGCAACCATGACGCCCCTGTCTCATGGCTACGTGTTTTTTTAGTGTTTTCATCCTATATTTCGTCTCTACATGCATACATTATTCGCCGAATAATTTCACACAGGCCGTCTTTCGTTGGGATGCAAATAAAGATGGGAATTCGAACGCATTTTCGGTCGTTTACCTTCACCGGAGACCTTATGGGATTGTGTTACGACTGGCATTTGGTAGTTCTAAATAGTGTACTTTAAAACAACACACTAGGTCTATTATATGCTTTGATATTTCGTCCAAACAAGCTTACTACGGGCGTTCTTACAGTGCCATTCAACACCATGTTGCAGTTGGTGGCAAAACCGATACTGTCCCAAACACAATGCAGCAACTTACAATAGCAAGCGTGACTGCCTTATCGCTCCGCCTGTATGAAATTGCCCGAACAAACCAGGGAGGACTGACTGCTCTCATTGCTAATACTTTGAACCGTGTCTGCTGGCCCACTCAAAAAGCACGAGTGCAGTTGATTGCGCACTGTGATATCCTGGAATATTCGGATTCGACGTACCGAAAACTGTATCATATTTCCGTGTGATGAGAAAGT